CGCGCAACCCTCTGCGGAGATCGTGCGTGTCGAGTGCGCGAAATGCAGACGAGAGTGCGATCTGTCCGGTGTGCGCGCAACCCTCCCTGCAGAGCCCAACTGCTTGAAATGCACATTGTTTGGAGCAACTGTGCGCGATAGACTGCCTATATAGCTAAATGGCGAGGTTGGTGTTACACGACAAAGAATGTGTCTAAATGACACAGTCATGGGTGTTACCCACGCACGCGTGCATAACACTCAGATCGTGACTCGGAAGTTTCTTCATCTACCAGACCGTAACTCGGGAGTGTCACACAATTTCAAGTTGTTTTGCAGGAACAGTCAATGTTGAGGGGTTCTTGCTCCTGGTGTGACATGCCTTTCCATGAGTTCTTTGGGCCCCCGGGCCTCTCAGAGATGTTTGGAGAAGAGTTTTTACAGCTGCAGCAATTTTGGAGCTGTCGCTCGTTTTAGACAGCGCATGGGCGTCTGTCATTCAAACATGCATAACAGGATCATGTGCATGAGCTTTGCGGGTACAGAGTGCGTAGCTTTCGTGTTACCATTTTTCCCTCCATGAGCTTGCATCTCAGCCCATGGACTTTTCAGAATGCGTGTTTCACTTCACCATCTTTCTATCCCTGCATGCGCTTTCGTCTCAGCGCATGGAGCAGCTCTTGCTTCACGAGCTCACGGATGAGTGCGCCCATTTCTTTTAAGAGTCCTTCAGCTTTTGCTTGAGTCTTGAGCCTTGAGCCTTGCTTGAGCCACTACTTTTTAACTGGAAACATTTGACACACTGTTTACTTGGAAGTTTGGTTCTCATACTATATCTACCGCAGCATTTTCGGCCTAGAGTGTGGTTTCTGAAGACTAGCTATGGGGATTAGACACCTGTCAAAACCAAAAAAGGAGCACCGCCGCTCCAAGAGGGATCTAACAAGGCTAAAGCGTTTGAAAAAGGAGAAGGAGGTGAAGGTCCCCTCGTGCCCGTTCAAGCCGACGAACAGCTTGCCTCCAAAGCAATCCCTTTTGCTGCTAGTTCGCATGGATACTTCGCTCGAGCTTCATTCAATGGTCCAGCAAACTAGGGTCAGGCGCATGAAGGTCTTTGAGGATGGAAGCACCCACATATATGTTGAGTGACCATGGTTCCATGTGGTGCCAAACTAAAGTTGTGTCATGAGGCCACTTGAACAAAATGGTGAACACTTCATTGTACTCAGGTTGCGTCTCCTCATGCATGCTGGTCTCCCCTTCGCCATCCTGACCATGGCAGAGAAGGTTCTTTCAAACATGACACGGCTGGACGTTGAATCATGGCTCAACTTGACCGCAAGGATGTTGCACATCCATCGAAGAGATCGCGCATCCATCGACACGCCGCCGCCCAGGAAATCGATGCTTGCGAGTACTTTGCCGGTGTCAAGACTGTTTGCAACGGCTTCAGGCCAGCAGCCCAAACACTATCAAAAGACTCTTGAGGGTTGAGTTGGGGTGTTCGAGTATGAACTGTCGTTCAAACAGGAAGGATGGTAATGATGAAAAGTAGTACTAAACAATATGTTGGTTCATGCGCAAGCGGCATGTCGGATGCAGGTTCTTCGGCAAGTCCGCCCTTAGCTATGAGATGGAGGACACTGGACCCGGAGGAAGCCAAGATATACTATCTTCTGTGGGCTTCATGTATGCTATGAGCATAGCCTTCAGAACATACTTCAAGGTGCTTCACTCAGTTCATGGAAACCTGTAAGAAAACTGTGGGCATGTTTGTGGCAAAGTTTGTGGGATCGAAAGCGGATCCAGCATCATCCCACGCTCTAAGGAAGGCTTTACCTTCTGGGCCCCCGTATGCAGCACGTGGGTATGGGTTTCCAGGCCAGGCTTTCGGATTGCCTTTGAGTAAACGCTGCAAGTACGTGTTTATCAAAACGTCACCAACACTCAAGAAGGAGTATAGTCACTTTCTTTGGTTTGGAAGTTCAAGGAGCCATGCACATGGCCACATGATGCCTGGTGAACCGAACCCATCGCAGTCACTCAGCCACAGGTCGAGCACCGGAAGATCTGCCTCGCGACCGCTGGGCGACCGGAGATCAGAAGTAGTGAGACTTGCGAAGCTTGTCAGCATGAGCGGGCAAGGAATCAATCAACCATATCCTACCAATAGCGTGCAGTCTTTTGAACTGACATGAATGCACTGCATAGAATGTCTATCAAACCGTGCATTTGCTTTATTAATCCTGGGGTTGCATTGCTTGGAATGCATTTTACACCAATGCGTTCTTTTGAGCTTGAACTGTCCTGCAGCGTTTCCCATCGACCTGGCCTGCCAAAAAAACAGCAAGGGCGAGGAACCAGGCATGTCTTCCTCAGGGACGGACGAGGAATCCCTTCAGGATGACATCCGCTATGTGATGGCACTCCAGGAGGTTGGAGAAACACTCTTTCAGGAAATGCCAGCTGAGTTGAAGGACACTCTGACACTCTTTACTGTACATCTCTTTATCTCGATCTATTTACTGTATCGTGAATTTTGAAAGAGTGTGGGTCCGGCAGTCCAGTCCACTCAAGGTATTCAAAAGAGCTTTATTGACCTATCGCTCCAGGACAAGGTGGCTGTGCCTGTCGGTGAGTCTCCAAAGGCCGACATCTTGCAGGGGAACTTTGTCAAATGTGTCACTGAGAAACATGTGACACTTGGTCAAAAAATAGAACATAATAGAACGGTATCTTATAAGTTATAAGACATTATTTCTATGCATGATTACTGCCAAACCGGTAAGAGTGCTCGGAGTGTACCTACATCAGGAAGAACAACCAGTGGATCGTGAAGGTGCTCCTCGACTTTCATCCTTTCACATTCAGGTCACCTTCAAAGTCAGAAACAGCTATCATTTGGCGCAGCTTCAATTTGGCGTCAAAGGCAGAGTTGTTGGTTTGTGCACGCTTTTGTTTGTTATGCGCATTCGTGGCTGTTTCAACCATTAAATCATAAAGCTAAGCGCACAGCGAGTTTGCAGGGGTTGGCAATCCAGCCAAAAGGGACGTACTCCACTGAGATGCTCATTGGGGTCTTGGTCATTAAGACTCGCAAGTTATGGTCTGCAGCGCGAAGGACTGTTTGTGTGTGTGTGTGTCACGCATGGGCTTTGGCAAGATATGTCGGCTGGTCCTTTTTCTAGTTAGTGAAGCGTTTTGTTCTGCGTCAAACATGCTTCCAGTATGTGGCGCAACGCCCCACACAGCAGCAGATCTTCGGAGATCCAGCAGTTGAAGAACCGAATGTCGAGCCAGCAGGAGTGGGATGTTGTATCGATATCGTTTCTTCAAGTACCATGCCTTGATCTGGCCTGAGTATTTAGTTGCCGGCGCCCTTCGTTTGTTTGAAGGAGTTGAATGATGATTCGGAGCATTCCAGCCCTTCTGCAGCTGAGTCCGACCGACAGCTTTGGGATAAGGCTTGACCAACAAACATGACAGCTTTTGCGAAAGACTTTTCATAAATGTCAGTGTTTGTTTGTTTCTTGTGGCTGGTGCGGTCGTCCATTCAATGAATTCTTTTGTTAGGTGCTGACGCCACCATGTTCTGAACCAGAGGCCCTGAGCGTCAGCGAGCCCGGAGATGTTGATGAAAGTGGTCAGGAGGCGACTTTAACAGTCAGCTCCAATGAATCTGCCTCTCCTACTCACATCTCCCAATTCACTGACCAGACGGGGGGTGAATCTGGTGAATCTGATGGCAAGGAGGCTGCTCTTGCACTCACAGCTGCTGAGTTGGAGGACCAATTTGATTCTCAAATTGACCGCGAGAAGCACCCTGAGCTCGCGTCGATCCTCGACCAAATCAACGCTGAATGCCGGGAGGGCCAGGCCGCGAAGACTGATAGTGTGGATGGGCTCACCCCAGAACAGTACCACATTACCTTGGCGGAGCATTTTCTTCGACCTGATGTTTCTTGTTTTGTTTGTTTGGCGACATGCTGTTTGCGAGCTCTTCACTTATGTACACTTATGTAATAGGGGGTGCTCTTTTGAACGTCTGCAGGTTCCAGCCGGCTATGCAGCTAGCGCAGAGTCAATGTGGGCGAATCCGCCATCACCTTTGCCGATCGTCAATGTTTGCGTACGACTTGAGACCTGTGCGCTTGACTTCACACATGTCTTGGACGCGGCTTGTTGATGTGTGATGGTTTTGTTTTGACTACGGCTACAAGTGTTTGCTCAGGGAAGAAGAGGAAGGGGCCTCCTTCTGAATCCAAGCACGCCAAGGAGAGCAAGTCTGATCCTACAGTTGCTGAAGCGCCAGGCCATATGTGATGGATTTGTTTGACAATTCCAAACGCAATGAGGACACCAAAAGCAAATTGCAGTGGTTTTCATTTGACAATTCCAAAAGATATGAGGACACCAAAAGCAAATTGCAGTGGTTTTCATTTGACAATTCCAAAAGCAAATGAGGACACCAAATGCAAATTCCAGTGGTTCTCACACCTCCTACCCATGCATGCAAGTCTCTATATTGTTAAGTATAGTGCAGTGGTAAAGTCGCTATATATAGTTAAGTATGCGCTGCAGGTGAACCGGATTCGGTTGTGGAAAGCTTCTTGGACATCTATCGGCCTCTTTTGGCTGACTTGCCGGACTTGTTGAAGCCTACGTCCACTCGGCATGGGAAGCACAGCTACACAAGGTGGGTCCCCCAGACTGCATGTGTAAACATCCATGGCCATTTAGCCCAGCAAAACGCGACACCGTGAATAGAAATAGCATGAAATAGCTGCGTGTGGGTTTTGCGTGGCTGGGCTTCCAGGCACGTTCATGGAAAGGGCAAAGTTGAAGTTCTTCTTCGTCACCGCGCCCTCAAGCCGAAGATGACAGTATCGGGAGAAGCATTGAGCGTGCCATTGACCCACAGTCGCACAAAAGGGAAATGGATCACTCGAAAGCGGAGTCCGGTCTTGTATATAGAGTGGTTTAGATATCTTGTGAGCCCATCCGACGGCCCTAGGATCTCTTGGCTTCCATGCATGAAGAAGGCAGTGGACCAATGTTTCAAGATGATTGGCCTGGCGGCCAGTGAGGAGTGATGGGACACGCGAGTTTGACATGAGATGTGATTTTGCACATCTGCAATCATAGGGTTTCCCATCCCTGCATAGGGCCAATAGTGAGGAATGTATATACAAACATCGATCGTTCCTAGATGTTCCTAGGATTAAATGATCATAGTCATAGCCACCGTTCTCAGAAAGATCTGGGGCAAGCGCCCACTGTCGGCCAGCAGGATGGGGTACATAGGTATCCTTAGACGCCCAAGATCGAGCGGGCAGCAAACGTAGGTTCAAGGAAAAGGCGCCTCTTACAGAAACCATGGAAAACCTGTGGTTATATATATATATATACTATGTCAGTGCATTTAACTGTTGATTTCAATCATTTGGATATAGATAACAGCACGCGGCGAGCCGAGGAACATCATGGTATCGAGAGTTTGCATGATTCTCGCATGTATGAATGCCCTACATCTGCCTTGGGTATTGGAACAACCTTCTTCGAGCTTGATGGAGCACCACCCGGCGTTCAAATGGTTGTGCAAGCAAATGAAGATCTTTAAGTTCTTTATCTGGGTTGGTGCCTACGGTGGTGGCAGCGCCTTTGCCCAGTTTCATAATGTCCCACACTCTAATACTGTTCTGGGGCACAAGGCCAGTATACTCTCCTCTCAACCTCTCTCGGATCAAGCATCACTTGAGGCCCAAAGGCCACCTGGCTCTACTCGAACTACCCATCCCTTCTGCAGCCGCTCTTTCTGGACTTGCCCAAGAAGGAGTGGCCATCAGTCATGACTACAAGGTGAGGTCGTTGAGAATTGTGCACCGCTGGAGTTTTTACCTGGCTAGCTATGGCGCTAGCCAGCTAAAGGCGGCTAAAGGCCCCAGAATTGGGTATAAGGTTTTGCGTTCAGGATCAGTATATAATCCCAGCAAACCCCTGCTATTGAGTGGTTCTATAGTTGCCATTCATATGTGCGCGCTGGCGCCAGGTCTGTCAGCGGAGATGGCTCCAGGGTCTGGGTGACAGGTGGGCCAGACCTCAAAGGAAGCCAACATTATCCCATACTATTTGGACGATCAGTTGCTGAAGTTGTCTGCAACCAACAGGGAGAAATCATCAAGGCTGTCATGGCTCGGAGGCCGGCCGTTGTTGACCATGCAACTCTTTGCAACTCTTTGAGTCAGGATCCATATATATATATATATAGATTTAACTCTTTGAGTCGAGGAAAGGATGTAGTATCTGTGGCATATCCTGTGCACGAAAAGGGGCCGTCCAATCGTCGACGTTTGGACGGCCCCTTTTCTTCAGCCCCCTGGGATATATATATATATATATAGATATGCACTTACAACAGTCAAGAGAGGATAGGCCACAAACGTATTTGTCGATGCCTTCCAGGAGAGATCTCATTGATCACCCAAAGAAGGAAATCCAGGACCGAACCCCCAAATCTCAAGTGGGTCACGGGTTGTTTCACGGGTTTCACGGATTCACGGGTTGTTTCACGGGTTTCACGGATTCACGGGCGGTTCGAACGGGTTTCACGGGTTTCCTGATCGGCCAGGACACGATCAAGTGGGCCACCATCGCGAACGTGAGGCCTATCATGATCGATATCCTCAGCAAGAGCTGAGGCTAGGCCGGCTTTTCTGCAAGCCATCTAAATTAAGAATGGCTTTGGTGCATGCTGTCTTGGGCCGGTCTATATATACCATCTTGAAGAACTTAAGCTTCAAAGATCATGGAAAGTTTGGATCCCAGTTCAATTTGTTCAAAAAATTACTATATGGGTAGAACCCGTGAATCCGTGAAAATTCCGTGAACTACCCATGAACCGCCGTGAATTTTCATGGGTTTGTGCACCGCTGAAAAATTCTCAGGATTGGTCCAGGATTCAGTGTGGAGTTGCCAGATTTCTCACAAATCGTGAAGAAAGTTTGTTCTGCAGAGCGCTCTGAGTGACCGTGCCAGATCTATGAAGGTAGCCTTGCATCCATGGCCTCATCCGTGCAGCTCTCGGCTGTCTAGAGGCTAGCTAGGTCGAGTCCTGTAGGTCGATCCCATGGGAAAGTCGAAGAAACAGAAAGCGAACAAAGGAAGAAAGAGCGAGACCTTGAAACCTGAACCACCGGCTCGTCGCGTGCGTCAGAAAACACCTGACCCTTCATATCGATCGAAGAGTCCAGATCCGAAAAAGTTGAAGAGGGCTGAGAAAGTTGCAGGGTCAGGGTCTTCTCAAGCTACTCCTCCCCCAGTGTTGAAGTCTGTGGCCACACCACAGAAAAATATCTCAAGGAAGTTGAGTTTCCAGAGTGAAGATACTATCACAGACATCGTTGCAGAAAACCCGGCGCCTGCAAAGTCTAAGAGGAATCAGCTTAAGAAGGTATCCATGACCGAAGCAGAAGCTGATGCCATTTTGCAAAAAATCAACACTGAGGAGCTATAGAGCTTAATTGTTTTTATGTGCTTTGTGTTTAGCAGTTTTATGGAGTACCCAAAGCAGTGTGTTGTGTGTTCGAACAGTTGTTTATCCAGGAGGTCGCGAATTCTTCGGCTTTAGAGAGCTGCGTGGAGGATTGCATTGTTTTTATTGTCCACTTATTAGGGTCCTTTTCACAAGCTGTTTCCATCTTCCACTTCCTTTGCACCTTTGCAAAAGCTCTCCTCACGTGCAGGATTCTTCTCACTCTGACTCCGACTCAGACTCGGGGACGGAGTCTTCCGCTAGCTCTTCAAGTTCTAAAGCTGAAGAGGAGGGCGACGAGGAGGCTGGGAAAGTGGACGCTGGGAAAGTGGACAGGGAAAACATGTACCCTAAATCTGACATTCGAAGATGGATGAGACCTGGTTCAATTTGGGTGTACCTGGATTCAATGGAGGCTGAACAAGAGAAGAGCCAAGAAGAGAGTGAAGATAAAGAAGAGAGCGATGGTGAGGAGGACGGTGCAGCAGAAGATGAAGACGAGGATGGAGAAGAGGATTCAGAAGAGGATGGAGAAGAGGATGGAGACGAAGACCCGGAAGAAAGTCAAGATGATGACGAGGAAGACGAAGATGAGGACCCTGCAGATGAGGAAGGTGAGGACAGCGACGAACCAGATGAGACAACCGAGGTTAAGGACAAGAAGGGCAAAGACAAGCAGGCTGACAACAAGAAGGCCAAGGAGAAGGCCCAGAAGAAGAAAGCGGAAAGCGAGAAAGATGAGAAGAAGCAGAGCAAGAGTAATGGCAAGAAGGATAAGAAGGCAGACGAGAACGAGGACAGCAAGAGCAAGAAGGAAGAGAATGCCAAGAACAGTAAGAAGGGTTCGAAGGAGAAGAAAGACGGCAAGGAGAGGAAAGAAGGGAGGGATGATGACAAGAAGGACAAGGGCAAGCTGTCCAGAAAAGAAAATAAGAAGGATGATGAAGAGAAATTGGATGATGACAAGAAGGACAAGGACAAGCTGTCCGGAAAAGAGAAGAAGAAGAAGGATGCGGAAGAGAAAGAAGTGATGGATGATGACAAGAAGGACAAGGGCAAGCTGTCCGGAAAAGAGAAGAAGAAGAAGGATGCGGAAGAGAAAGAAGTGATGGATGGTGACAAGAAGGACAAGGGCAAGCCGCCCGGGAAAGAGAAGAAGAAGAAGGATGAGGATGAGAAAGAAGTGAGGGACGATGACAAGAAGGGCAAGGACAAGCTGTCTGGAAAAAAGAAGAAGAAGGACGAGGAAGAGAAGGAAAGTGTGAAAGATGGAAAGGACAAGAAGAAGAAGCGCGACGGTGAGAGCGAGGAGCCACCTCAAAAAAAGAAGAAGACGACCAAAGCGCTGGAAGAGGCTGAGGCGGAGATGGATGGTAAAGGAGGAGAAGAGTCAGAAAGTCCAGAGGTTATCAACTCCTCTACACACCGCGCCCTTTGGATGCGGTTCGACCGGTGGGTGAAGAACAAGAAAAGGTTCCCAGCAAAGCTTCAAGCAGCTTTGAATGGTGAGGACTGATTCATTCATTCCTCACCTCCTTTGAAGTGTTCATAAGTGCACTACGTGTTACACTCCTGTTCCTATCTTCCTTTCGAAGTACGGCAGGTGTTATCACTGTTTGTTGTTTGTGCGCAGGATGGCCGAAACAAGCTCTTCGCCGAGTATGTGAAATGCGGTGGTAAGGCCGAGGATATCTTGCTGAGACACGAACAGTCCATCTTGGATTCAACAAAGTCTCAAATCCGATGGGGCTTTAGAGGCGAAAAGTGGATCCTTGATAGACACGGGGATAAAAAAGGAAGAAAACTCATCGAACGAAAAAAGGCCCTCGGACTGTTCCACGGTTGCACGCATTTCAAACGAACCAGTTTGCATCCTACTTGTGAGTTTGTATCCCACTCGTGGTTGGTATTCTTTAGAAAGACAGCCTAGGCATGTCCCAGATCCGGAGCTTCCGGACGACGCGGAGGAAAGGCTCTACTGGACTTTGGTCAGCCTGGATTGCGAGAACATCCATGAAATCTCCCGGCTTACCAAACTAGAGATGGAAGGGTGTATCGATGAAGCGGGACTGAATGAGTTTGTGAAGGCCGATTTCCATACATGCACCTCATGTTTCATGTGCACACTCGTAGTTCGGGTGCTGTGTGTTCGTGGTCTGTGCACTGCCAGGGTGGTGGCGTGTTTGATCCTGAGTCGGGTCTGAAGATTGCCGACTTTGCCGGCTCGATTGGTGCCAACAAGCTTTTGAACACCATGAGCATGCAACCCCCAAAGAAGAATAAAAGAACGAAAGGTGAAAAACCGGAGGAGGAAGTACAGGAGAAGCCAAAGGAGGCCTAAATCCATTTTCTTCAAAACAAAACAGTCTTGTAATATCATTCACGATCATTCATTAAAAGTGTTCACCGTTTAGTGCCAGGTGGTCCCGGAAACCCCTTTGTCGAAAGCGACCTCGCTCCTGACCAAAGTCTTGAAAGACGTCGGCGATTGTAGGTTCTTGGCTTAGGGGTTCCCTTCCCTCTCGACCAGCTAGCAACAAGCCTTCCGACTGAGGACCCAAGCATTCCGACTTCAGCCGATCAAGATGTCTTCAGACCTCATAGCGCAGCTTCATGCGGTCGCCACGAAACTGGAGACTCTGGCAGGGAGGCTTCAGGAGCTTGTCAAAAAGGGAAAGAACAAAACGTCACACTACAAGGACATCATTTTGGAGGCTAGTTCATACAAAGAGTGCCATTTGTTTCAACAAACGGCAAACAGTTTGGATGGGAACTCCTTTTTTTGCTTCTGAAGGTGGACAAGGTCTCCAAGACATGCAAAGAGCGTATCGAGTTGGGGAAAGCCCTTGTGAGAGCCAGTGAGAAGGCATCTGGTTCCAAGGGGTCTGCAAAGGGCAAGGCGGCGCCAAAGGCTAAGCCTAAAGACCCTTGAAGTGCTTCAAATGATTTCCCAAGCGGGCCCATCTTCCTTCAAGGTGTGCTTAGAGCGTATGGGGTGCAAGTATGCTGGCTGGTTGGCTCATTTAAAAGGCCCTTGGTCAACCATCATATGTTCGCAATGAAATTGTTCTCAACACGTTCTCCAGCCGGCGGACTTGGAGGGGTTTGCGCACTGCACAGTTTGCGCGTGGATGGATCGAACCTGCCAAAAAAGGCCTATACCCTCTTCAGCTACACATGCAGAGATGAGTCATGAAGCAAATACTCCCACCAGCCATGCGTTCCAGGTATACCACTTCGTCTTCAGCAAGAGCAAGATCAAGATCCAGAACCCGCCCCCACCTGGAAGGCTGGGAGCCCCTGCATTCCATGAGCTCTCCATGCACCGCCATGCATGGCAGGTGATCGGACGCTGGCTAGCTACGGGCATGTTCAAGGCATCGATGTCTCCTGAACACGCACTTGAAAAGTTGAACATAGTTGAACACTATTATATCATGTTTTCCAATGCTCAACGTCTGACAGGAAAGCGTGTGCTGGACTTCGCAAGTGGGTCAGCAAAGAAGATCTTGAAAAGAATGTGTTCAGGAGTCATCGCCTCAAATGTTCATTTCGATGGTTTCATTCTTCAAAGTTAAGAGGCTAGTTCTATAGTGGTGCAACCTCATGCCAATCAGGCGATTTCTGTTCAAGATGGATGTAGAGACGCAGACCAATTACATCAAGATGGCTTTGGTTGCCCCCTGAGTGATCTCATTGCATCTTGGAATTCTTCGGGCCATTGCGAGCGGGACTTCCAGAGGTCCATAGTCAGTCTTTCAAAACATCTGCATACATCACATCTGCAGAAATGTTTGGATTAAACTGCAATGTTTGCTTTTGCAAGCAATCAAACATGCAGCATGTTACTCTTGAGAAGGTTTTAGAAAATGCACAAAAAGTATACATGTTTTTGGGTGTGTGTGCGCGCGTTGCGAGGTGGTGCCGGGAGCACTGTGACCTTCATCCTGACCGGACGCGGCTGGATGTGAACGATCCAGATCACCAGAGTGGGGTAATTTGGCCCTGGAATCTTCTGCATTGGATGTATGAGAACAACAAGTTCTTGTCATGGGTGCACGACGACCCAAACCTTGCACATCAAAGCGTGGGTGAGTTCTGGAATCATGTTTCACACCTTCCTTTCTATGGTGAGCTTCAGCTAGAACACCCTGAATGGACAGTACCAATTGCGTGGCATTGTGACGGGGTGAAGGTGTTCAAAACCCATAAAGTCTGGGTGTATTCAATGTCGGCATGCACGCGTAAGGGTCCCAGCATCGATACAAAATTGTTATTTCTCATTTTGAGAGACACGCTGATCGTGAAGGACAAGACTCATGACTCGGTCGGCAGGCTCATAGCCTACTGTATGGATGTTCTTATGAGTGGCAACTATCCACAAAAAAGGCCTGATGGGACCGACTTCCCTCCTAACTCTTTGGAGGCTCAACGCGCCAACACCCCATTCTGCAACGGTTGGAAGTTTGCGTTTGCTGCTTGGAAGGGGGACCTCGAAGCGAGAGTTATTTGCCATAAACTTGTCCGGAACTGGGCGGCTGACTCGATCTGTGAGCACTGCTTAGCGTCCAAGATCAACAACGGGTTTGGCTACACCGATTTCACCGACAATGCAGCATATTTTGAATGCATGCTTTCCCATGATGATTTTGTGCTTCTCAACCCTCCCAACAAGCAAAGCGCTTGGCTAGCTGTGAGGGGGTGGCAAAAGGACCGGAACTTGGATGAACCTTGGACCGACCCTATATATATATATTGTTTATTTTGTTCGGGCATAGGACTGGCTTCTTTTTGTTCAGGATTTGTTACTGGATGTTCCTAGTGCAGTGTTGGGCCAGCAGTTTCAGGATATGTTGCATATGGTTCACCAGGGAGTCGGTCCTATTGCCATAGCGGCGATGCTCACACATCACTTCGAGGAGACCGGCGTGACTTTGGATGGCTTGAGCGAGGTTCTATCCCATGAGGTTTGGGCAGACTACGAAAACTGGGTCAAGCCTCGAAGTGATGTGGTGAGTGCTTCAAGTTCTCGGTTCAGTGGATTGCGGTTCGGCAGGGATAGCTGGCAGAATTACGCTGAGCTTGCCAGTTGTTACAAAGGCGCTATGATCAAATTCATGCTGTACTGGGCTGCCAGCTATTTGAAGAAACTGATGGAACAAACAAACACAGAGACTTCAAGGTTGAGAGCTTATTGCAGCCATGCCCTGGCTATGTTCCAGTACCTTCAAGACTCTAACGGTCCTTGGCTATCTCAAGAGACCGCTGAAGAGATGTGCCACTATGGACGCACCTTCTTGATCTATTACCAGATTCTAGCCAAGGATGCCCGAACCAAATCACCAGACCGACGGATGTACAAGACAGTCCCAAAGTTCCATGTGCTGTTGCACGCGTGCCTGTATGTCCAGAAGACCAAGCGTAACCCCCGGTACGATCATCTCTATATGGAAGAAGACTTCATGAAACATGTGGCACAGATTTGCGGGAAATGCCATCCGAAAACGATCGATTGGGTGTCGCTATCGCGATATCGATGCTTGCTCGAACTGTGCTAGATGGAGAAAAAACGGAGTGATTGAACAGTGATTGTCAGGGGACTGCATGAGCTTGGGTGTGTGTGTGTGGAGTTTTTAAAAGTAAGTGTGTGTGCGCACCTGTTTTGGCACCGTGTCTAAAGTTTTTTTGCGGCAAAACACATGTTTCCAAAAACCCTCCATAACAAATACGTGTTTCCCAAAACCCTCCACAACAAATACGTGTTTCCCAAAACCCTCCACAACAAATTGTTCCAAAACTCTGTGACTGAACTTGTTTTTGAAAGCCTGGGGCTGCCCTATGCAGCTTGATCATGCTTCTGTATTCTTCATGGTCGTGGAGCTAGTCATGCTTTGCAGCATGATCATGCTTCTGTATTCTTCATGGTAGTGGAGCTTTGCATGCTTTGCAGCATGATCATGCTTCTGTATTCTTCATGGTAGTGGAGCTATTCATGCTTTGTGTGTCTCTGTGAACACACGATAGCAACTGCTTCAAAACGACACCTTCATGTCTCACGACAAACAATGTGGATTTCAAGCGGTTAGGCTCTGCAGGTCTGCGGAGATCGTGCGTGTCGAGTGCGCGAGGTGCAGGCGGGAGTGCGATTTGTCCGGTGTGCGCGCAACCCTCTGCGGAGATCGTGTGTGTCGCGTGCGCGAAATGCAGGCGAGAGTGCGATTTGTCCGGTGTGCGCGCAACCCTCTGCGGAGATCGTGCGTGTCGAGTGCGCGAAATGCA